TCTCTCGTCTTTGTCTCTTTCACAAACTGTTTCTTCATCCCTCCTTGCGCGCCGAACGTATTTTACCCCCCCAATAGATCTCATCTAGATTAGATCATGTTCATAAAGTCGGGATTCCATCGTGTAGAACTAATGCTTTTTTTCAGTCATTCTTTCCTCGCACATCAGTGGAGTGGAATGGCCTTCCCGCCCCGACAGCAACAATCAAAGATCCCCAGCAGTTCAAGAACGCCATAGCTAACATTGTATAAATAAGAGTCAATTTACTGTACTAATAACCACTGCATTTTTTAACTTTATACTTATACATTGTACCTACTCCCCTCTCTAATGCCTTTGGCCCTGAGGGTATCTGAAATAAATAAATAAATAAATAAATAGGATATCTTATAATTTAGAATGGGGTACTAAAGGTTTCGTCGTAAATTTTTCGAAATGTATCTGTGATATTTACACACTATTTATTTATTATTTTAGCGGGGATTCCCCATTCAGTGCCCCGTAAAATGTTTCAGCGACTCTCGCAGCTTTCATATTCGAGGGGATGACCACTGAGATCATCAGATAGATGGGGTGGAGGTTCAAAGTATCAGCTTTCGTAGCTTAAACCTGGCTGTAGCGAAGAACAAACCAAGGCTCCCCGTTTCCTCAGCACAGCTAAGTTATTAGCAACAAGCACGACGTTGCATGCAGGTGCTGGAAGCAGTTCCGGAAGAGGCACCCACGATTCCCGGGATTTTACATCGCTAGTGTGGCTTACCTCGGCCATGTTTGGTGCGGGAATAATACAATTTTCTTGCGATTGGTAAGAAACCACTAGATAAACTGATATATATATATATATATATATATATATATATATATATATATATATATATATATATATATATATATATATATGGTGTGAATAGTATATTAAAACAACATAATGTAGCAACTGGGTCCAATAATACTGGTTACGGCGATTGATTCAGTGCCTGAAGCGTAACTATAAACCTTTGCAAACAGAGCTCTCTGGCCGCCGCCATTTTGCGACTCGAGCGACTCCTACAAGCCAGAAATTTCTGCCACCCACCTGAGCTGTGGAAGCCCGGTCAGCACGACTCCCCACCTGCATTGAGCATTCGGAGTTCGCCGGCTTTTCTTTAAGTTTTTACTTTATTTTCTTGTCTAGGATGCTTATGTGTTTTGTGTTATCTTCCACCGTGAGAACCAGGGAATACCAGGATTCGTAGCCTGCTCGGCCTTCCCAGGAAGCGAGTGAAGAGAGCGAACGTCAAGCAGCCCGCGACGCGAGCAGTTCGACGTTCTTCGATGATTATTTACGTTGAGATAATCTCCGCAAAGCCTTCCCGGCTATGTTCCCGGACTTCCCGAAAAATAGCGAATAGGGTTTGAGGTGTGGGGACGGAAAAGGCACCTTCGTTCGTTTGCTTTGGTGCTGTGCAAAAAAAAGCAGCACTCTTCAAAACGTGCCCCGTTAAAAGCCGGATTGCGTCTATTATCGTGAAGTGTCTATCGTCGGCACTGCATATTGGATATGCTGTGTTAATCGAAACCTTGTCAAATCGTGTTCGGATAACGCGGCGCCGTGGGGTATGTACAAGAGTTTGTTCGCATGATGAGACTCGCTGAATTTCGTGCTGTGAGCGGGAAATACCCCTGCATTTCGACTACCCTAAAGTGGTCAAATATTTTGGACAGTTAAAACTTCTCTAGATTGACACGGCTGAGTGTATGGCGTAGTAAAAGATCAACATAAAATGAAACAAACATTCTAATTGCATTTTCTCTGTCCCGCACAGACTTACTAAAAAGAGATTTCATTTGTTTTTGTTTTTCTCAAAAATAGTGCAATGCTTTCTTAAATACCTCGAGAAATTCTCTTCGCCATAGAACACAAAAGACGGAAAAATAAAACGGGCAATTTCGCCGCCACCAGCGTCCAGAATCGCGGCTACGCAGGCTGCCACAGCCTACTGACGAGAAAACCCACAGCCCAGCGCAGTCGGGCAACACAGAGGTACACTCTCAGAACCAGGGACGCGCGCTGTAAATCGCTTCGTTCGAGTCTGCCGCTGGAAAGGTCTGTAGTATACATTACAGGAATGCTACAATCGCTAATGCTCTTGAAAGGTAGGGATTGCGAACCATCAGAAAACATGGTAACTATTTTTTCCAAATTATGCGGTGCGACGCAATATTAGTAGTAACACGCAGTACTAATGGAGAAGGACCTTCACTTGTATTGTCTAACTCCACAAAAAGATGTGTGTAACTTTTAGAGCGCAGCTCTTAGGCGCCTGTTTCCGGCTTGAGCGGCGTCGCCTTGGCCGTCGCCGTCGCCGTCGCCGTCGGCGTTACCGCGCGGTGCATTATGGGTAAATTTCCCCGCTAAATCTGGCGGAAAAATTTCCCCACTAAATCTAGCGTAAAAATTTCCCCACTAAAACTAGCCGCAAGATTTCCTGCTAAATCTGGCGGGAAAATTTCCCCGCTAAATCTTGTGGAAAATTTCTCCGTTAAATCTAGCGGAACATTTTCCCCGCTAAATCTAGCGGAAAATTTTCCGCGCTAAACCTAGCAGAAAAAGTTCCTAGCTAAATCTAGCGGAAAATTTTCCCCGCTAAATCTAGCGGAAAATTTTCCCGGTTAAATGTATCGGAAAAATGTCCCCGCTAAATCTAGCGCAAAAAGTCCTCGCGAAATTTAGCGCAAAATTTTCATCGCTAAATCTAGCGGAAAAATTTCCCCGCTAAATCTAGCGTAAAAGTTTCCCCACGAAATTTAGCGGACATATTTCCCCGCTAAATCTAGCGGAAAAATTTTCCCGTTAAATCTCGTGGAAAAATTTTCACGCTAAATCTAGCGGAAAAATTTCCCCTCTAAATCTAGGGGAAAATTTTCCCCGCTAAATCTAGCGGAAAATTTTCCCCGCTAAACCTAGCGGAAAAAGTTCCTAGCTGAATCTAGCGGAAAATTTTCCCCGCTAAGTCTAGCAGAAAATTTTCCCGGCTAAATGTACCGGAAAATTTTCCCCGCTAAATCTAGCGAAAACGTCCTCGTGAAATCTAGCGCAAAAAGTTCACCGCTAAATCTAGCGAAAAAATTTCCCCGCTAAATCTGGCGTAAAAGTTTCCCCACGAAATCTAGCGGACATATTTCCCCGCTAAATCTAGCGGAAAAATTTCCCCTCTAAATCTAGCGGAAAATTTACCCCGCTAAATCTAGCGGAAAATTTTCCCCGCTAAATCTTGCGGAAAATTTCCCCGCTAAATCTAGCAGGAAATTTTCCCCGCTAAATCTAGCGGAAAAATTTCCCCGCTAGATTTAGAGGGTAGGTCACGTGACCCCGAGGTAACGTGACCAACAGCGTCACATGCCCCCCCCCCCCTCCCCCCAAGAGAACAGTTGACCCTCAGTAACCTTCCCTCCTCCTCAAGAGCTGCGCTCTAATTCGGCGTTACAGGGAGTTGTAAATGGCTTTCATTTTTTTTCAATTGTTTTGAGAGCGGTTACTGACAAGATTGCTACGCTTGTGGTGCCACGTGGAGGTTCGGCCAGCATCACCCTTGCTCGTACTTGTGCTGCGAAAAGAGCACAGCACGAATTCGCTTGTTTAATAAAACAGGGAATACAAATAACTGTGTAAAAACGACAACAAGACGGGGGCGAACGAAGCAGGCTCCCTGCATAACGGCCTATGTACCGATTTTCAGCCAAAGTTACTTATTTAATATTTCCAGCATTCCATTGAACGCCAAAACAGAGAGTCGTACAAGTGTAACCGTGCACCATACCAAGGTGACCATGGACGAATAACAGGACAGTGAATTAGCTACTCAACAAAGTGCTTCTATAGGGCATCATTAAATGTAGCAAGTGACACCGAACTAAAAACAACCTTGGGAAGCTTGTTTCATTCATTGACACTATTGGGAAAGAAGGAGGCTTCAAACACAGTGGTTCTACATAAGGGTTCATGAGAGTTAGATGGTGTTTGTTTCGTCGGGGCCTAGTTTTATTAATATCCGTGTAATGGCTAAAACGCAAACGCCAATTGAATCGGAGCACATTAAACCAAATTTAATGCGGTCTAGATTTTGTTTTGTTGCTAAATCGCACAATCCAGACAAAGCATATAAGTCGAAAACCGAAGACATTAAACTGTACCGATTACACACAAAATGCGTTCTTTTTTTTTTGGACTGCCTTAAGCATATTGATTAAGGACTTGGGGTGGGTCCCAGACAACAGCTGAGTGCTTTAACATGGGTCTGATAGTAGTTTTATAATCGGTCAACTTAGTTTCAGCAGTGCAGTGGCAAAGATTGCATAACAAAAGTCATAGTTTCTGCATAGCTTTTTTGGCTATGTAGTTTACCTGGGCGATCCAGTTTAGATATGAAGTGATTAAAACACCGAGATATCGAAATTGATCAACAGACACCAGTGGTTCGGCATTTATACAATACGAGAAAGACAAACGTATACTTTTACGCGTTACAGTCATTTAAACATCCTTTTTGGAGTTCAAAACCACGCTCCATTTTGTGCACCTCAAAATGGAACACGACTGTGACTGGCAAGACAAGGATCGGACGTGTTTTCCGGAGCTCGAAGCTAAGTAAAACTTTTTGTTTTGTATCTGGGTTTTCTTTTAAAAGTACTTGTTATGGCTTAGCATAAAGCAGATTCAAAGGAGCAGTAGGATCAGGAGGGTGCAGTAGGAATTTAGGTGTAGAGGGAAGTGGTGGTAACGGTAGTGTAGGGTCACGTGTCCGAACACGTATAGATGAACTCTTTTGGCGAGCGCTTTTTCTCTCTCTCGGTTGGTCAATTTGAGGCGGAGTAGATATAGGGACACTTTTTTTTTCTCCTCGGTTGGATTTACAGATATTGGGCAGAACAGGAACGCGAATGGCAAAAAAACAGGACAAGGCCACATCGGACAAGGCCAAACCGGATGTGCCCAACGTGGCATGCGGTAGTTGTGAACAATGTGCTTCCTCACGGAAACCCCGTTCGCGAGCGTGAAGGAAGCAGCGGGCAAAGAGTACCAGTGCCGGATATGCGTGAATGCTAATGAGATGAAGGGAATGTTGGAAATGATGAGGGGGGAACCCGGGAAGGAGCGCGAGGCACGAGAGAGGATGGAGGTGGAGATGGAGAGGAAGGAGGCTAGAGAGAGGCTCAGGGACGAGAAGGGCGAAATCAAAGGTTTGGACGGCGGAGAACTTGCTGGGCGGAGGAAGGGAACACACGTACAGTGTGGTGACTGCAAAAAGTCAGTAGACATAGAAGACACTAGGTTTGATAGCGTATATGAGGCAGTGATGACAGAGTTCACGTGTAGAAAGTACGTCCTAAACGCACTACAAGACAGGATGTAAGCACAGAGCACAGAGCTAATGGCAAGGATTGTGAAACTAGAGGCGGAACTGGAAAGGGAAAGAAGTGAAAGAAAGGCAGTGTACGAGAAGCTGGTGAAGGCAAAAGAGAAGTTGGCAGAGGAGGTGGTCCTTTGGCCATCGGGCAGCACAGCGAATTACACGGTCGTGGAAAGGAATGGGGGGAGGACGTACAAAGGAGCACTGAAGCAAGAAGGAGAAGAGACGGGAAAAAGGGGGAGGAAAAGTCAAAGGACAAAGCCCCTGCTTTAACAAAGAGTAGGGAAGATATGAATGGCAACGCGATCATAGCAGGGGAGTCCAACATGGAAAGGTGCCGGGGGCAGTAGCTGAGAGGGTGATGATTGACGCCAGGGTCCAGATTGGGCAACACTTAATGAGGGCAGTGATCGAGGGGTTGAAAGCGACACTATAAGGGACAAAAGAAGGCCAAAACCTCGTGATGATAGCAGGGGGACTGAACGATGTACTACGAGGGAACGGGAAGGTGTGGGGAAGCAGTCGCGCGGGGTGGTGAGGAACTTGAGGGCGACATCGGACAACGTACAGATCCATGCCTGCACATTGCCAGAGGTGTGGGGGCAGGGTGTTCACATTAAGAGAGCTGCGATAGCCGCAAACCAGGGCATCTGGATACTGGGACGGAAGATAGGTTTTAAGGTGATTAACATGAATTGGGAGTTGCGCAACAACAGCGAGCAGGCTTTTGAAGGGAGCGGTATTCATTTCAGCCATTACGTGGGGGGAGGGCCGTTGGGTGGCGGATGGTAGGGAAGGCGATGGCTTTTTTAGGAGGCCCCAAAGCACTCAAGGAGAGGAATCCTTTCAGGAGCGAGTCGAAAGGCCTGTAGGAGAGGGAAGACGTGGTGGGCACATCAGTGGGGCATCGGAAAGCAAAGGGGTAGATGAGAGTAGGGGTGTGGGTTTGGGGGAGGTGCACAAGGAAGGTGGGAGGAAGCCACGCTGAAGCAGGAGAAAGAGGCTACTTAACAGAGCTTTCATAAACATGCAGATGGGCAGGAACAGAATAAAGTGAGAGGAGATAGAGGAGTAATTAGAAAGCGAAAGCTTTGCAGTGTATGGATTAGCAGAAACACATCTGAAGGATATAAAAGAACCACCATACATACCGGGATATCATGGGGTTGTATTCAACCAAGCCAATGGGGAACAGAAGGGAGACGGATTAGGGGTGTAAGTGAAGTTTCAGGAATGGGAAAGGGAGCGAGAGTTCTGCAGGGAACATATGCGGATCAAAGGCAATATTGGGGGTTCAGGCACAATCATAGGTTTCGTGTACCTGAAAACAGGGAGTGATGCTGGCGAGAAAAACGCAGAACACTTAACATGTATATCAGGACACGTTAGGGAAATCGGCACTAACAAGGAAATAATTATCGTGGGGGACATGAATGCGCATTTGGAAGACTTTGATGGACATACGAATACAACAGGGAGGATGTTAGAGGAGTCCTGCGCAGCTCTTGATTTGGTATTGGTTAACGCTCAGGTAAAATTTAATGAAAAAATAACATGGGAAAGAAAGAACTCGCACTCGACTATTGACAACTGTTTAACGTCGCGGAAGATATACAACAAATTAAAAGGTATGGAAATAGACGAGGAAGGCACGAAAAGTTTGGGGGGCGACCATAAGAAAATGAAGATCAGATTTGGCACAGTAAAACCAGAAATGCAAAATCAGAAACAAGGTGGTAGGAATAACTTAAATGTTAAAAAATTACAGGAGGTATCTAAGCAAATTAAGAACATTGTACCCAAGCAACCGGAAGGAGAATTGACATATGAAACTGAGTGTTTTCAGAAGAGAGTTAGAGAAATGTTGAATCAAGCAAGGAGGGAGAAAACTAAAACGCAAGCTCAAAAGCTGGTGGGATAAACAGGTTAAGACAGCAATAGCGAGATGCCAAGCGGCATCTAGAGAACACAGATGGGCAAAGAAAGGGGGCCACACTGTCCGAAGTAGCATTAAAATGGGAGGAATTTCAGGAAAAAAAGCTGGAGGAATCAGCATTAAGACAGGCTGAAATTGGGAGGAGGGGTCTAGTGGATGATAGAGATAAACCAGAAGAATAGAAATGCAGCAATAAGGTTCTGGGAACACATCAGTGCACAGAAAAAAAAAAAAAGACCGCGGGGTACGAGCAGACACTAACCACACCGGGAGGCATAAAGCTAGAGGGGAAGATGTAAGAGAAAACATTAGACATACAATCGAAGCAGCATTTTCGGAGTTAGAACCAGATCTGGCCATAGGGAATGGTAGCGTCTACAGAACACAAGAGGAGGATTATAGTGAAAAGAAAAAAAAAGAAATGACTACAGGGGAATGGGGAAAAAGCAAAAGGAAAGGTTCCGGCTGGAACTGCGACGAGTCCAGTCGGCATAAAAATGAGACTGATAAAAGTTCTAGGCAAAACAAGCAAATTGAAACTAAGGCAGGTTATTGGTCAGATACTTATGGGAGGGGAGGTACCCAGTGACTGAAAATTGGGCAGGATGATAATATTATATGAGGGAAAGGGAAACAAAGACAGTATCAAATCATACCGACCAATCACAGTAACTTCAGTAATATACAGACTAGCTATGCTAATTGTAAAATGAAGAATAGATGAATGGGCAGAGAGAAAGCAGATTCAGGGGGAGCTTCAAAACGGTTTTAAGAGGGAGAGACGACTAGATGACAACTTATTCGCAATCACTCAGTGCATAGAGATAGCAATGACAAGTCAACAGCCATTATGGGTAGCATTTTTTGGACATCAAAGGGGCATATGACAATGTGAACCAGGAAAAACTCTGGGACCAACTAAAGGGATATGGGCTAGGGGGAACCAAGGTTAAGTTTCTAGAACGGGCTTATACGGAAAATAGGGTGGTTATAACATGGGAAGCCAAAACTACAAGACCAGCAGCAATACAAAGGGGACTTAGACAGGGTTGCCCATTGTCTCCCCTTCTCTTTATGATATAACTCAGTGAGACGGAAGAAAAGATAAGAGCAGTGCAACCTAGGTGTGACCTGACTTAAATTGAGGAAGGACATGCAGTAAATCAAGTATTACCACGGTTAATGTACGCTGACGACATTGTACTCGTAGCAGAAAGTCGTGAAACAATACAGGAACTGATTATAATTTGCCGCAGGGAAGGGCATACTTTAGGCCTAAACTTCAGTAGGGACATGTCGAGTGTAATAGCAACCGGCGGAATCTTCCTATACCTCCCATTGGGACTCCAATTGCAGATGGCAGCGCCAAATCTCCCCTAAAAGGCGTTGGGTTTCTCCAAAAGCAATAAGAAATAGACAAAACAATACGCGCGCCGTCGTCATGGCAACTGATTGGTTATGGGGGAGGGTGTAAGAAGTGTGGTCCCTTCTCTCCCTCTCTCTCACCCTCGGCGACAAAAGGATGCAAGTTTGTTCGGAGTTCGGAGCAGCCTCCAAACTCCGAACGAATTTGCATCTTATTGTCGGTGATGTTAAAAGAAGAGGGAACTGCTTCCATTGCCGCCGTCTCGTTCTTCTACAATACAATGTAATCTTTTTAGAAAAAAAGAAAAGTGTGTTTACCTTTTTTTGCGAATGTCCGACGCTTCCGAAACGATTGCGCTTGACTTTGCGTCACTCGATTGAAATCGGCTTGGCAACAGTGCATGTTCAGTGACAGCCAGTTCTCATAAAATCATCAATCAATGAATGCAAAGTGCGCCCAGCCGCTGCTGTTTCGCGGCTAAAGATGGGCGCACATCGCCAGTCTGAGCACAAGTCCAAACTTCTTTTGCAAGTTCTCTTTTTATTAGGCAAAAAAAAGTGAAAGCCGTTTACAAATCCCTGTAACGCCGAATTGGAGCGCAGCTCTTGAGGAGGAGGAGTGAAGGGTACTGAGGAGAGGGTAGACCCCTCCTCTTTCTCCTCCTCCTCCCCTCATTCTTTAATATGCTCCGGGGGGGGGAGGTCACGTGACCTCGGGGGGGGGGGGGTCACGTGACTTCGGGGAGGGGGGTCACGTGACTTCGGGGAGGCGTGACCTGGGGGTCTCGTGACCTTGGGTGTCACATGAGGGTCACCTCAAGGTCACGTGACCCCCAAGGTGACCCCCACGTGACCTCAGAGGGGTCACGTGACCTTGGGGGTCACCTTGGGGTCACGTGACCTTGAGATGACCTTGGGGAGACCACGTGACCTCGGGGGTCACGTGACTTGGGGGTCACGTGACCTCAGAGGGGTCACGTGACCTCGAGGGGTCACGTGACCTTGGGGGTCACGTGAACCCAAGATGACCCTACGTGACCTTGAGATGACCTTGGGAGGGGTCACGTGACCTGGAGGGGTCACGTGACCTTGGGATGACCTTGGTTGCGCCGACGGCGACGCCAACGGCGACGCCGACGGCGACGGCGACGCCGACGCCGCTCAAGCCGGGAACGGGCCCCTAAGAGCTGCGCTCTAAAAACGTTCACTGCACGGCACAACAAAGTAACAAAATCTACACGAAACTACTATTCAAGTATTCACAGACCTGCAATCACGCATTTAACTTTGCAGTAGTTAGCGACAGTGATTCGATCGCCACGGTCTCTCGCAGGTTCCTTCTGCAGCGCCAGCTGCTCCACGCACGTGCTACCGAGCTGCGGTGCTCTAACACCGATACCGCCCACACCGCTATTTTTAAGATAAATGCGCTGTCCTTTGTGACCTCCTACAATAACTCTACCATAATGAAACATGCACCAGCAAGTTTTCGGCAATCCGACACTGTATAACCAGAAGTATAGCAACCC